GTGTGTGTGTGTGTGTGTGTGTGTGTGTGTGTGTGTGTGTGTGTGTTTACTCAAACAAACAGATGTGCAGAACGAAGACAACAGGAAAGTGTGAAACAAGGTTAAGAACGTCAAATTTGGCTCCACCAGGTGAGTTTATCCATGGTAAAGCTGTGTGATGAAGTTGAATACACTTGAGGAAAAAAAGTCATAAATTAATTTGCAAAAGTGACGTGCGTATCAAAACAATATATCTGTAGGGTGATACCTGCATTTAGCTTACAATAACACAATTTAACATTGTACGATGTGTAACGACTGTCTTAGCATTGTGAGTAGGCCTCTTGGAAAATGACATAAGGTTAACTTTTACGGTACGTTACACTAAGTGAGAACCTGCCCACTTTTTTAATAGAATGAATTTTCATAACAGTCATTATGCTTGGACGGTAGCACCATTTCTGTTAAAAGTAGAAGAGGGCCAGGCATCTCTGTTTTGAGAAAGTGGGCTTGCAGTAGATTAAGTGTTTGGGTTCAGGTTTTGAAAGCGCCACCAGAGTGTACTTGTATTTCGATTCTTCTTTCTTATAATTAATATACTTTCAAGCATTTTAAAGAGGGAATAAACTTATATTCTCATAGAAGAACCACGTCAGTAAAACACCTCAACACGTTCAGGGGATGTAGATCTACACTGTTCGTCATCATCATAACTGCCTTTGTCACCCGGCAACCGCAGGGTATAGGCGATGAACAAAGACTTTCTATCTTTCTCTATCCTGGAACAGCCTCTTGGTGTTATTTAATGTCTCCCCACTTTTATAACACTGTCAGCCTAGGTGCAACGCTTATAAATCTAACCCCATACAGTTGTGTTAATGTTTGTTTCTTTGTTGCAGTGTTTTACAGTGGTCAGATGGTAACGCTACCTCCTCTCCACCCCCACCCCAACCCCCACCCACAGCCAGCTACGCAATAGGCGGGAAATAAAATAAAATAAATGTCGTGTACTTCCAACAAATGCAGCCATAACGAGCCTCCTCTCACATTTACAGACCCCATAGATTACTCTCACAAAATCATTTCTTAATAAACCAAACACCAAACTAACTCATAAACGTGCGCCTAGTACATGTAACAACAAGTCCAGATTTACGTTCGGGCGGTACTGTAGTACCGTATAGAATAAAGTAGCCACTCACAAAGCCAGAGATTCTCCACGTATCTTAGCTGGACAAAGAGACAAGCTGTCCAGCCACCAAGTTATTGCCCCATCCTTGAGGTGCCGCTAGATCATAAACCCCCGCGGTACGCATGCCCGCTATGTAATCTCCACCCTGGGTGGTCTGTGGTGAGTACGTGGCCTTCATATATCCCAACATGGACAAAACAGACAGAGCTAGGGTCGGTGGTGCATTGCTTGAGGCTGATAACGGCACTATTTCAATTTGGTCAGGAATTCTAGAGAAGTAGGCCTACTGTGAAGGGGCTTGCATGGTGTACTTCATTTTTAAAGACTCGGAATTTTTGGATGCGATCGGTATGTCAGCGATAAAGAAAACTAAGGAAAAGAAATTGAGACCGGAAAGGCAAAAGGTCAGAAAGATAGTAAAAGAGTGAAGGAGAAAGGCTTCGACGTGAGGATAATATGTTTTTTAAAAAGGAAAACTAAATGCGTAGGGAATACAAGAGCACGTCTCCGACCGTGAGTGAGTACAAGAACGATAGATATATAGATAGATAGACAGACAGACAGACAGACAGACAGACAGACAGACAGACAGACAAACAGACAGAC